TCTCTTCTTGTTCCAAATGAATTTTTGGATTGTTTTCTCAAGGTCCATTTAGTATGCTGCTGGGATTTCAATTGGGATTGTGTTGAATCTATTTAGCAGTTTTGGAACTATGGCCATTTTCACTATGTTGATCCTTCCTACCCAGGAGCAGGGGACGTCTTTCCATTTTCTGATGTCCTCTTCAGTCTCTGTTTTCAGAGTGCTATAATTTTCAGAGAAGAGGTCTTTTCTCACACTAAGTTTTTACAAGCTGGTGAACACTGACAAATTATTTCTCCCACAGAACTATAATCACACATTCCCAGACAGTATAAATACATGGTTGAACTAACATTAATACACATCACCATTTTATCAATTACATAATAAAACAAATTATCAAGTATCCAAATATTAAGTTATGCAGCTCAAAAGGCATATAAAGTGTTAGATGTCTGTTCAATGCATTAGCAAAAACTCACTTCTGTTTTTTCCAAGAGGTTGGAAAGAGAAGGGGAAAAAAATCACACTTTAAACAAAATAAGGCAGTAAACAACTTCTGATAAGTATAGAAAAAATTACAAGAATTTCAGAAATTTTATAATCAAGAATGTCCTAGCTATAATAATAAAGCATCTTTACCTTTTAAAATATTTACTAAATTAAAGAGCATATTCTGCATGTTCTGCACAAGACAAAGGCAACATTTTACTAAAAATATTGGATAGCCCACTCCTAGTCTTATTTCAAGCCCTCCCTGTTAAGTTGTATCTTGGAGTGCAACTGTAAGGCTTTTCTTTGTGTGAGACATTAAAGGCATGTGCTTCTGTAACAATGTAGATTTTCAAAATTGAGGTTTCCCAGAACAGCACAAAATAAAAAACTTATAGAAAGACATTAAATAATCACTGTAAGTCTTGGTAATAATCAAAAAGAACAATCAATGTTTAAGCAAACCTGATGTGTACTGGTATGCATGTGAGCTGTAAACATAAAATGAGCAGGCAAATAGCCACACAGGCCCTACCATATTTGAAATGACTGAAGGAATAAACCACAGGTCTAGAGTGTTCTTAGTTCCTGGAAGTTTGGCTCTATGTGATACTAAAAATATGAGTAATGTGCTGGGTATTTTACCACCTAATCTTTCCAATTTCTTATGTATCATTAAGATTCTGGCATGGGAATAGCCTTAAAGACATAATTCAGTACTGCATAATTTCAGGAAAGTCAATTGGCACAAATGACAAGCACAATTTAAATGCTGAACAGTAAGAATCTTGTGGTAATTGTCCAGATATGTTGATCATAACCCAAACACAGAGGTTGCGATTCTGTTAAGCTTGTGTGTAGCCTGTACAATTGTTTTCCAACACTCCTGCAGAAGCTTCATTAGACTTATTCACCAAGCCAGCACATGACAATTAGGTCCTGCCTCAAGCTGCAAGTCCAAGACAGTCGCATCAAGCACCCCAGTTTTATTGCATGCAGCAGTTGTTCCTGTGACAGCTGGAGTCTTTGAAGTGTGGCTGCATTTTAGGATGATACTTCTCCAGATCTGAGTTGCTTGCTGTTAAAAGCTCTGCGCTACTTTTGTCTTATGAACTGTAGTGCATCTTCATATTTCATTCTACCTTCAATTAATGCTAGGGCAACAGCACTGGAGCACTCCGAAGGACCACAACACAATGGACAGCAATACAACAAACAGGTTCTTCACGAAACTTAATTTTTATAAGATTTAACCAGTCATCAACAATCTGGTTGCACGGTGGTGCACCGTCATCAAAAGGTCAATCAAAAACATGGATGCCTTCCTTCTCCACAAGAGTAGTGTCATACGTTGCTTCACATACTCTTCCTATTGTGGTAACTCCATACTTCTTAAGTTCCTCTATAACTTGTTTAAGGTTGCATTGGTTAGATTATGCATAATGAGGAATCTCATGCTCTTGTACGTGACTTCCACAGGAGCTGAGTGGTTCATTCAAGCCATTTTAATTTAGTTAAAAAAAAACACTTAAGAGGATTATGAAAGATTTTAAAACTTGAATAGAAATGATGCAAGAAACTGAAGTCTACTTTAATATACTCCACTTGAACTTCTCAGTGCTTTGAGTATGGCGTTGGGAGTACGGGGAAATGAAATGAACCTCCTAACAAGAAGAAACAATCCTTCGATCCAGTAATACTGAGGCAAGAGAAAGGAAGTGCGTTAAGGTTTACCCCATCCAGGTCAGAACTCTTGTAAAATGCTCTATGATTTCAATTCACCGCTTCTGTGTCCAGGTGAGCCTCTCTCAGGGGGGCTTCTTGGTGGAGCAGTAATGGATCTCTACAGTTCACTTGTCTGCAAAGAGCTCATGCTATGCCTGGCAGGAATCTCCACTGCCCTTCAGAAGCTCCATAAATGTGTGACCAAGAACACCACAGAACTGAGGAATACATGTACTCATTGAAGATTGTGGCCTAATCATATAGCTGATCCCAAGGTGGCAGGAGAGAACATGTCTCCAAGTGGGTGCAGCCTAGCAGCCCATACACACACCAGGGCCCCTTCTAAGAACTGAGAAGAAAAGAGCCTTTACATTTCTGGAGATGCTGGCTAGTTACTGGCTTTGTACTCATACCATAACTATTTTATGCTAGAAAAATCTTATGTCCTCTACCACCAAAGCTGGTCATATCTATAAGGAGCCATTGATGTATGCAAAATTACGAGACAAATGCAAAACCTGATTTTAGTGGCATTGGGTCTTTCTGTGTACAATTTCCCCTTGTGTAGAATTGCTGGATATAGTACATACTTTGGTGTTATTCCAGAAGCCTGTGTTTAGTAAGAAAAGCATGAAAAATATCATTCCCACTACCACCGTGTGTTACAGTTGCACCATTACAAGGATTCCCCTCCACCCTTAGCTCCAAGAAAGAGGGGTCTTACCATGCCCTTAGCTGTGAGGGAATACAGAAATGTTTGCAGCCTTCTCTCCCTACCCCAGCTCCAATCTCACAGCAGCACAGGGCTGCATATCTTGGAAGCAGTAGCCCTAATCTTTTCTTTCCCATGCAACCCATACCACTCTCAGCATTAACGCCTACCAACATGCCTATGGGTGTGCCCAGACTATAAAAAAATAAAAGCTGGACATGGTGACACATGCCTGTAATCCCAGCACTCTGGGAGGCTGAGGAAGGAGGATCACAAGTTTGAACTCAGCCTGGGCAACTCAGTGACTTACTGAGACTGTCTCAAGATTGAAAAATCAAA